AGGGGGGGGGGGGGTTCAGAAATGTGAGAGTTAATGTAGACCTTACATTTACCAAAATATGCTTAATTAGAGTGTAAAAATGTTTTGTGTTGTTAAGGTGAGCATAGCCTTTCCAGCTAGTGACTTTGTTTGAGAACTGCCTTCCAAATAACCAACAATACCTCCGAGGCTTTAAGGTGACATATAAATTGGAGAAAATTTTTAAAAGGCAGGCTCTCACTCTCTATGAAACCTGGCATTCTCCATTGAATACACTCACCCTTCCAGCTTTGCTCATGTTGTTATCGTGAATACTCCTTCTCCTCCTTCTGGAGCTTTGGAAACACCGAGAAACATTCCTGGTAGAATGGCACACGCTGTACATTAATCTTCTTCGGACAAACTCCTCTATGGTGACTTGAAGCTTGAAGTGAACATACGACCTGCAACATCAACCCACATACTTGTACAGGATAAATCACTTGGCAAGGTTGCAGCTGCTTCCCAAAGTACAAAGGGGTTAGGAACAAGTGTTCGGTGGATTAATCATGTGCTCATGTACTTTTTGTCACCTGGAAATTCATAATCTAGCTACGCAAGCATTCTTAAAGCCCTTTTGGATGAGAGTGTATGTTTTTGTTTTTAATCTTTGTTGAGGAGATCTGCTCCTTTTGCTGGCTATTCCTTGGTGGAATTCAGGGTGAGGTGGTCAAGGTTTGATGCCATCACGGATAGAGGGGGTCGTGGCGATTGTAGCGTATGAATTTAAGAACCAAAAGTCATTCAATTATCTTTGTTTTTCTGTCGTATTCATTGATTCAAATTTGAGCAGAACCAGGCAAGGAAATGGGATAGATTTCCCAACTAATTTCAGAGCAATCTTTAGTCAGAGAGTCATTTGTGTTGCATTAATAAATAGGAATCTGGAAGCAGTAGACCAGAGCTACAGTCAAAACCAGATTTGCCTTTTTACACATCAGAAATATCGATCTTAAGCTAGAGGTCATGTTAAAGTCACATTTCCTTTTGGCATAACATCAAAATTATAACAGTGATTTAGTGTAGCCCAAATGCTAAAATAGCAACTTGCTCAACAGCATTTATGCAAGTGATTTAATTTACATTTTTTAAGACCTAAGAGTGCATCAAACCTTGACCCCCTTTTGTGTCCATTGCTGTATGGTTTTCTCAAATGTGTAAAATCCCATTCTTTGTCGATAAAACTGTGTGCTGCAGTATTTCCTAGTATACTTCTCTGTTAATTGTCTATTCTTATTTACTTTTGTTTATTGGGGGGTGATGTTCCATTAGCATTCTATGTATGCCCTGTTCCTTAGCCTAATATTATTAAGTATGTTTTGAGAATGGATATTTTACTGGCTTTATAGAATGTTTAAATAAATATAATAATAACAATAAGAGGAAGGATTAATCAAACCTCCTAAGCATTTGTGTTTCCATTATGATGTTGTGTGCTTATCTTAATCATTTTCGTTGTAGAAAAATGGAGTGAATTTATATTAGGCTTCGAAAAAAACTAATGATAGCATTGTAAATTTTACAGGAGGATTTTAACAGACAAACAGCTTCGTCAAATAGAAGAATATAGTTATTTTAATTGTCCTCTTTACTAACTGTAGGGTGAGAAGGGGCTCGCGTTGTGGTGAACTATGTTATAGCTTGTTATTCACTGTTACTTTTGATCATTTTTTCGGTCTCCGAGGTGAATCGAGTTATTAATGAGAATTTGTATGCTCACATATGCATATTGTATATGTGTAGAAATGTAATCACACTTTGTCTTGGATTTACATTAAACTGTTAAGTCATGGCACCAGTGTCCTGTTTCCTACTCTGGTATGTGTGCACATGTGCCGCAGGTTTGCTGTGTGTATTTGGGCATTGTAGCTCTTTTAATACATCAGAAAGGAAAAAAAAATGTACAATAGCATACTGCATGCTATTACTCCAAAACGTGAAACTGGGCAGTGTAGCATTTACTGTAATTTTGTACCAAAGTGGGATTATTTCTTCTAGCTGCATGAAACATCGGTTTCTACTTTGAGAGGTATTGTGGCCTGAGGTAGGCCTTAGCAAGACACTGTATCCAGTAATGGGGAAAGTATTCTGTTCCCTTATGCAAGTAAAAGTAGAGGTATCGCAATATAAAAATACCAAATTACAAGGCTGAGTTCTGCATTTAAAAATATAGAAGTATAGGTAGTCAGCAACATGTTTGTTTTTATTGAAATTACCAATATGTAATGTATAAAATCCCCAAAAATGCATTATGTGTGTTGTAAATGTTATGCATAAGTGTGTGAGTAGCACTTTCAGCAAGTCAAGGCCAATACACAATCACAATAACACAATTCATACATGAGGCATTTTCAAAGTGTTTACAGACACTGAAACTGTAAAATGGATGTATCATAGCTACTAACTTTTATACTGTGGAAAGTTTAATATATAATATAGACTTGCCATATGGTTTGTACCATCTGAATCTTGTAACATATCCTTACTATAGAGTAGCTGCTAGATAAATGAACTATCTCAAAATTGTACTTAAATACAGCAGCTGAGTATGTATATATTAATTACATGTCACCACTGACTGGTGTCTGGCTTCTGTGCTAAACCTCTGACCTCTCTGCAGCATTAGGCAAAACAATAATATTTTATGGGAATTAATACAATATAAAACTATACTAAAATGAAAGGATTTCATGATGATGGTGATCCATGGTGCATGCCTGCTAAAAGGTGTGAAACAGTGGGTCTGATTGAGAGCTGACGTCATATCAACAACATGAGTTATACTATACTGCCACTAGATGGCGGTGTGCACCAAAATGATGTACGTAAACTAGCACTGACGTGATTAGGTTATGCTGATGCTCCTTTTGTATTCAACCACAAAACCTTGCTACGCACGATGTTTTGCAGCATGCACCGACAGATAACTTAATGCAAGCTCTTTGTAATTAATATGAACGACATATCATTTTCGTGTCTTGTGAGGTGTTAAATGTGCACACTGCGCTTAAATATGTTTATTAATAGTGATGGAATTGTGGTAAAATTACATGGAAATACAACAACCAGTAGGCTATACCAAGAAACTGCTTGTTATCATGTTTTATTTCAGTATGGATATAAGGTAACTCTATTCAGCCAACAATATAAAGGCTGACAGTGATACAGGCTACCCATCAATGGGTATGTATACCTTGTGAAGTACATCATTGCATGAGGTAACGTTGCCGTGGAAGCCGCAGACGCCAGTCGAGAAGGACCAACCTAATATTTTACACAGCACTTTGACAGAAAGGATTTTTAGCCAATGAGAGCGGGCTTTTATCAATTACAAACTAAAAAGATCCGCCCGGGGGGCGGGACTAACCAATCCTCAGGAGGAGAGAAGGTAAGTGTTAACCAAGAGTGTCAGATGAACGCTAGCTAACAACCTCTTCTTTTTATGTTTACTTTGAAACAACTTCAAACGCAGGCAGGTGGATACATGAAGGATAACGAAGAAGCCCCAGACAGCATTTTATTTCATGCAAGGATATTTTCTCGTAACCCAGACAAAGGAATTGACTGAGTTGCAGCTCCCTTTTTTGGTAAGTGAATGCGTAGCTATGAGCTATCTCACAGCAAAGACTGGGGAAAGGAGAAAAAAACCATGTTATCTGTGCCCTCAGAACTAGCTTTGGGAAATATCAGCAGTGTTAGCTATGTTAGCTAAGTATGTTATTATTGTTTCAGGTTACAGTAAAACCTGCGGCTAGTAGCTTAATGAAGAGCCACATGACGGTTAAGTAACGGGACAGGATGTAGGACAAGAGACTGTTAGTGTACCACGATGACACCCGTTAGGAGAGGCTGAAAGCTAGCACTACAGCCCGGGGTTGGTGTCTGTGTTGGCTCTGGGCGCTCCTCTTTGGCCTTATTTTCCATGTTTATCCGTCTTTGAATAGCAAGTTACGTCGTTTGGTGGTATAATAATGCCTCATTCATGCTGATTTGACTGACGCTAATAACGCTGTCTCATTGTGACCTGGTTGGCCATGTGCATGAAGTGATTCAGGCTACTTTCACACAACAGTATATAATCACAATAAAACCCAGTGTGCACCACCAAATTGTATAATTTATTTTAACATGGAAGTTAAAGGCTTTTGCATTTTTTTCTCATGTTATACTTGTGTTGAGAGAGTCACCTTTTGCCTGTGAGTGTGAGAGAGTGGGAGTAGGGATAGTGAATGCACCAGTACATTTTTAGATCCAAAACAAACGTGTCATTTGAGAATCCAAATAATTAAATCTACCAGAAACTTTACTGTTTATATAAGGCCCAGTGCATAAATAAAACAAAATGTAGTTAATGACTTGCAAATGGAAAAATAGAAAAGGCAAATTAACTCTGAAATATTATCTGGCAATTCTTGATGAATTGCTTTGTTCAATTTGACCCATTTGTCCCGTGGTCCAGTAAGTTGTTCTGTTATTCCAGGTGTTACAGTTATTGCCATTATTGTCTGATTTGAAAATGTAATCATAATCAACTAATAGATTAGGCACTTATATGTACTTCGGTTTAGCAGTCAGTGGTTGAATAATGGTGCTGAATTAGCAATGGTAAAATGGTTGCTTTGTTCTGATGATTACGCTGCTGCTCCTTTGTTTTCAACAGTCACTCTTCACTCTGAACACATGTCATGGAAGGAGGAGCCTTAAACTAATAGAGACCAAACCAGACAACTCACAATAACCCAAACCTTGAGTGTCTCCTTGGCATGAATCTTCTCTTCTCAACTGGATGAGATGCCTTGACCTTACCATGGCAGGTTTACTCTCCTCTGTGGGCTTGGTGCTGATTCTCAAGGCTCTTCTCCATGCCCATGGCCAGCGTGCAGTGTTTCTGGGGATGACACTATTGGTAACAGGGATCGCAGCTGACTCACCTGTTACGGGTAAGGAAACACCTTTTGCTCATTCACGCAACATGATCCACTAATTTGTGCTTTGTGTTAGTTCAAGTTGCACTTGGGAATGCACTGCCTAACTAACAGCAGAGACCTTTTAATGGGGAAAAACACAATAATGGCTGTTTGCTGATTTTGTATTGAAGGTGCAGGCATATCAAGAAATGTTAAACATAGTCAATATGGCATTTGTATAATAGTAAGGTCTGCATATTTTAATACAGCTGTGCATTTTTTGGTCTGTATCCTATAATCAAACTGAATTGCTACATAAGTGGCTTCACAGACACTTTTGTATATAGCAGAGCTGGCAAACATGTCAGCCGTGGCGGGTGCCATGTTGTGTTATTTGGCTTCTTTCATTTTCTGTTCCAATTATTATTCAATTATTTCTGCTTAATCATTAAGTTTTGCTCCATTCTCATTTGTAGTCATTTCACAATGACAAATATCTGATCAGCTGGGCAGAGTATGGCTGAGCGTAGCAGATCGTAGTGGAGCAGGGGAAGGGAGTGCTGGGCAGAGCAGAGTGGATTCATTTGGAGTTTCATGCTAGCGCTGCCTTAAGTTACATGCTGTACCTTTTAAGGAGAAACGACATGATATGTGTGTTTCAGGGTTTTCACAAGTTGTGAAGTGCCTCTATTGCTACACAGACTCTGGAGTTAACATGGTTTTCAGTAATTAGAGAGAGAGAAAGGGCCTGAATCCATCCACTTGATGGGTGTTCTCCTCTGGCTTACTTTTATAGATGGTGACATGATCCCACCAATACCCCTCCTCCTACACACTGCCCAGTGAAAATAACCCATTTAAAGGCCAGAAAAGAGCTCATGATATTATATAGTAATAGGATTATGAGGTAAATGCCAGGGTGGACGCCTTGAGCAGGAAATGAGGAACTCACGCTTCTATAATCACACCTACCTTCATACATTTTTTTTTAAATTTGATGACCAGTAATAAATAATAAAAACTTTCCTCAGTTTATTCCTGATAAGAGAACCCAAGTCTTAGTTCAGATTTCATCACACAACAAATCGGGTATAGAGGAAAATATTGTTACTATAAACAATTTCAAACAAATCCATATGTTTGACATTTCCTTTATATTCCTTTCTGTTTCTGCCATTTTGCATTTGCTCATCATACCCAACCAGCTTTGCATTTTCTAACCGGTTTACAAGCAACAGTGCTTGTACTGGGTTATATGACCTGATAACTTGGACAGTAGTGGTACAGTGTAAGAGTTCTCTTGCCAGAAACCAGAGAGGAGTCTTTATGACTTTTCAGGGTTTAGAATGCACACATTTTATCTTTATGTGTCACTGGCAGTTGTACAACAAAGTTTGCAGAAGATACTTTCTGTAGTTTATGCCAAACCTACAGGATATGCAGGTTAACTGCTTTTCTGCCTCGTTCTCTTCTCTCAGACGAGTCTCTTGCTCTTTTGGTTGATGACTACCATACCGTCACATGCTACATTTGCTATGTTAGCTTTATTGAAGAAGAAAATCTTCACTTAGCAAGTGACTCGGTCTGTGCTATAGAATGGGAGGAACTGGAAGTTAACAGTCATTTGCACTGGAGTTTTACTGTTTTTCATGCTCTGCATCCTCATACTTCATTTCCATGGGTATTTATGACAGTTGTCTTGTCTCTTGTGGGAAGATATCGTCTACCAAAGTAGAGGGGCTGGTTTTGGTTGGTATATCATTATGATTTTGATAATCACATTTTGAGGAGCATCTCATAGACAGTTCTCCTGTGGCAGGCTACAAACCGCTGCATCACATGAGAATACATTCATCAGCCGCAGTTTGGACAGACTTCAGACAGCAGCGTGCTGTTCTGAATTAGTTTGTTAAACACTAAATTTGGGTTAACGTCATTGCTGCAAGGGCTGGCCTTGAGTATTTTTTTTTTTTATTTAAGTATAAAACTGTACAATAAGAGTAGGTTGTGTAACACTGTACATGTTGCAGTTGTGCAAATCTGTACTGTAACCACGGTTTTAGAGTGTAATGTCAGTGTAGTCCTTTGTGCTGGTGTGTTGGCTCATATACTCCAGCATGCCTGAGATTACACTTTACTACACCACACATTTTGTACAAGATAAATAAGCAAAGAATTTTTTTTTCTTTTAGGCTTATCTGAAATCTATTGACATAAGCTTATCCATTCACTTTATAAACAGCTATAAATAACTATAGGCCTAAATAAACTATAAGTACAGACTCTGGCTTAGCATATGTCACTAAATGAAAACAATGTTATCAGCTGTTGTTTGATGGCTTCTTTTTGCTAAATGCTTATAGTCTAAGAAATGTAGAAAACACATGTTTGAGCTGAGCGTTCTCATTAGTTCACAGCTTCAGTGTCAGATTCATTCACTGTTTGTAGCTGTTAAAGGTTTATTAAGTATCCCACAATTTGAAATAAGATGTTTAATTGGTAGTGAACTGTATTGTATATACAAAGCCAATTTAGACTGCAGTTTTAAATTCACTGATCTAATTAGTAAATAACTCTAAACATAGTAAACATCTTGTACCCAGAATTGGATATCTCCTGGAATAGTTCTAGTTCTTGTATGACCGGAGGTGCTCTTCATCTTCAGCCACACAGTTCATTCATGCCTGGGATGACAGCTGTTTCCAATAGTTCCACATCTACTATGCACTAAATCTAAAATAAAACTAAAATAAAAACTTTTATAGGATAGTAATTACAGGTTTTGTCTCTGCACCGAAGTGACTGGCAAGTTCAACACAACAAGCTGCAGGCCAGCAATGTCCTGGCTAATTACTAGTGCAGTTCATCGCCGTGTGAAATGTGATCTGTGTGGGATGACAATATGACCATTCATTATTCATTAGAGCTAGAAGCCAGTTGCAGATCAGTGGGTAGAGCCTATCAAAAGCCAAACACTGCGTACATTTGTACTGACCAGGCCTGCAGCCTGACCAGAAACATCTAGGCTATTGGAAAGTAGCCCATGGCGTTTTAATGTTGTTCTTCCACCTGACAATCGGCACCCATCATAACCTTTTCCACATCCACACATCAAAGTAATAGGCTAACACAGTCGGCTATTTTGAGGATGGTTATACTCTCATTTACTGTGCAATTTTTTTTTTCAGTTGTCAACTATTACCTGCATCATACTAGTAGGTTTTGATGTGAAGGTACCGTAGATGGGGCTTGTGAATGTACATCTGTTAGTAATTTTCTGTTCCCTTTCACCAAGGCAGTTTTCTACTACAGTTGTCCAAAGTATTGTTTAGAACAGCAACCATGTTTTATGAGGCAAACTCTTCTCTACTAGTGTTGTTTTTCTTTCTTTCTTTCTTTCTTTCTTTAATCCATAGATAATTCCTAGTTATTAATAAGTTAACCTGCTTCAGCCACCATATTATTTGATTTTTATTTATTTATTTTTTTTATGACATGTTAGACTTAAGATTACATAAGAAGAAATAACCAGTGGTAGTGTTTTAGAAAGCTTCTCAAAATATTTTGACCATTATATTAATTTACTTGACACTGGCCTATGTAAACCATTACATCACATTTATGCAAGGATACAATAATTACAACTAACAAAAATGTTTGTAGCTCCAGCTACTTAGGCTATTTGGCAACAGGCCAGTATCGGGTTCACCACTCTGTGTGGCAAATATTTCAACAATTTAAGAATAACATTTGTCAGTGTAAAATTGCAAAGATTTGGGAGTTTTCATCATCTATGATGCACAGTATTATGAAATGATTCAGAGAATATAGAGAAGTCTCCTTTAGGAAGGTACAAGGCCGAAAACCAGTACTGAATGGCCGTGATCATCTGGCCCTCAGGTGACACTGCATTAAAAACAGACATGATTCTGTAGTGGAAATCACTCGTGGGCTCAGGTACACCTCTGAAAACCACTGTCAGCCGCCACCTTCTCTGGGCTTGAAATCATTGAAGATGTACTGAGATGAAGTGAAAAACTGTCCAGTGGTCTGACTAGCCAAAATTTGAAATCCCTTTTGCAAATCATGGATGTCGTGTCCTCTGGGCTAAAGAGGAGAGAGACCATCTGGTTTGTTATCACCAGTTCAAAAGCCAGCATCCATGACATTACTGTACATGGAATGGGTAACTGCACATCTGTGAAGGCACCATTAATGTTGTATGATATATACAGGTTTTGGAGCAACATATGCTGCCATCCAGACAACGTATTTTTCAGTGAAGGCCTTGTTTATTTCAGCAAGACAATGCCAAACCACATTCTGCACATATTACAACAGCATGGCTCCATAATAAGAGCCTGGGTGCTAAACTGGCCTGCCTGCAGTCCAGACTTGTCACCCACTGAAAACATTTGGTGCATTATGAAGTTAGCAATATGACAAAGGAGGCCCCAAACTGTTGAGCAGCAGAAATCCTATATCAAGCAGAAATAGGAAAGCATTTCTCTTTCAAAACTAAAACAGTTGGTCTTCTCAGTTCCCAAACACTTACAGAGTGTCGTTGAAAGAAGAGGTGGTGCAACACAGTGGTAAACATGTCCCTGTTTCAGTGTTTTTTTGAGATGTGTTGCTGGCATCAAATTTAAAATGAGCAGATAAAAAAAAACTTTTCAATATTTGATATGTTGTCTATGTACTATTTTCAATTAAATGTGGGTTTTTAACAGATTTCCAAGTCATTTTGTTTCATTTTTATTTACCGTGTACAGCATCCCAACTTTTTTGGAATTTGAGTTGTAACAAAAGTTAGTCTCGTGACCATGTAAGACTCATTTAGCATTTTTAGGCACTGTGTTATAATAAGAACATTAAATGCAAGCTGTTCTTGTAAAACAACTCTTTGTATCTGTAATCACAGTTGTTAAACTGAGAATTCTACTACTTGTCAGACTGTCATCTGATTAGTAACAGTTCCCTTGGCAAATGTTGTTGGTGCACAAGCCTATTACAAGTAGATAGCCCCGACTGTT